TCTCTTACCACTCTTCTTCAACTAACTACACCCCTGCAACAATTCTCCCACTCCACTGATGCCTTTGCACTATGCCCCCCCCCCCCGTTTTTTAACTGGAATATTTTACTTGAAGAGAGTTTCAGGAAAGGACTGTTCCTCTCCTGAGGAGTGGGCAGGATGAGGTAATCAATAAGAGAGAAGAACACAGAGACTAGGAACATGGGAAGCCATTACCACCAACAACCTGAAAGTATAGGAGAGAGAATGAGATCATTGGATCTCAGAAAGAGCTGGAAAGGTGAGAAAAGGAATACCTGACAAGGACTCTGGCCACAGGAGAACAAAGCCACTAACGGAAAGGTGGTAAGGCAAGGAGGAATCSAGGGAGAATGTATCACAAAACACTCTGAATTTTTGGCATTGACTTCCAGCTCTATTCCAACTGGATATAGGGGTGCACCACCATGCCTGACCCCTTTGCTGGCCCTTTGAAAACATCCCTCTCTCATTGGTAATTACTTGTTTATTGTCTGTCTTCCATCCCAGGTATGAGCTTCAATAATAAAAACTAAAACTGTCTATTTACCGCTGTATCCCTAGTACTCAGAACTTGTTTGGTACATTACAAGTTCTCTTTTTAAGTATCTTTAAGATGTGTATTTTGCTGAGCATGGTGATGCACAACTGCAATCCCAGTGGCTCTGGAGGCTAAGTCAGGAGGATTGCAAATTCAAGGCCAGTCTCAGTAATTTAGCATAACCCTAAACAATTTAGTGAGACTCTGTCTCAAAATAAAAAATAAAAAGGGGATGGGGATGTGGCTCAGTGGTAAAGTGTCCCTGGGTTCAATCCTGAGTATAAATTTTTTTTAAARATGCATATGTTTATAGAGCCATATTTCAACTCATTTTTATATTTGTTTCTTGGGCAAACTATTTTAACTTTTCAGTCTAGGCCATGTGAAGCCTTTTTTCCAATGAATACTGAAATTTCAATACATTCCAATAAAAACTGAAAAATATCATGCCAATTAATAGAAAATGCAAAGATGAAACGATTCTCAGTTCCTAAGGAGCACTAACTAGTCTAGTGGTAACACCCCAAAACAATTAGAATACAGTATGACAGTTGATAAAATGAAATGAAAATACAACTGAATCCTCATAGACCTGAATGTAAAAAGCTGAAACTATAAAACTCTTAAAATAAAACACAAAAGTAATTTTTTGTAATCTTGAATTGGGCAATGATTTCTTATAAAATAATACATCAAAAGCAAGTGGTAAAAGACAGATAAGTTGAACTGCATCAAAATTAAAACCTTTTGTGCATTAAGGATACCATCAAGAAGGTAAAAAGAACACACAGACTAGGAGGAAACATTTTAAAATATATCTCATAAGAGATTTATATCTAGAATACATATTTAAAAATTTTTTTAAATGACCCAACTCAGGCTGGGCAAGGTAGCTCTCGCCTGTAACCTCAACTACTCAGGAGAATGAGGCAGGAAGGAGTATTACAAGTCAAGGTCAGGCTTGGCAAGGTAGAGGCAAGCCTCAACAATTTAGGGAGATCCTTTTTCAAAATAAAAAAGGTCTGTGACTGTAGCTCAGTGGTAAAGCATCCCTTAGTTCAACCCCAGTACCACAGGGGAAACCCAATTCAGAAAATGGTAAAGGATTTGAGCAGACATTTGTCCAAAGAAGATATTCAAGTGACTAGTGACCACATGAAATGACCAGTAGTCAACATCATTAGTCTTGAGGGAAATGCAAATCAACATCAGAACGTGAGCCACTCCAAAGAAAAATGTAAGGGATGGTAAAGCAATTGCCTAGCATGGGCAAGGCCCTACCTCTGCTTCTAAGCACTGCAAAAAACAAATAAAAGACAAAATAGGTACAATTATTATGTGTTGATTAACATATTTTAAGTAAAAATTTTTTAGAAAAAAATAAATCTATAAAACAAATAACAAAAAAACATTATTTTTTWAAAAAGGAACCAAGTCATTTTAAGTCTTGTTCCCAAAAAAGAAATTATCCATTTCTGCTGAAAAAAGAAAGAAAAAATTAATGAAAAAGAAAAGATAAAGGAAAAAGAAAAGTGTTGCCAGGATATGAAGAAATGAACCCCTCTACATTATTGGTAGGGTTGTAAAATGTTGTAGCCACTTTGGAAATTAGTCTGAGTTCCTCAAAGATTAAAAATAAAAGTTTTTTTTTTTTTATGACCAGCAATTTCACTGTTGAGTATGCACCCAAAAGAATTGAACACAGATGTTCCAACAAAAACTTGTGCACAAATGTTCATAGCAGCATTATTCACAATAGGCAAAAGGCAGAAAAAGCCAACTATCCATCAACTGATGCCCGGATAAGATGTTTTATATCCAAACAATGAAATATTGTTTGGCCATAAAAAGGAATGAAGTACCAGTACATGCTACAATATTCGAAAACCCCCAAAATATTTTTAAGTGAAAGAAGTCAGTCACAAAAGACCATAATTCTATTTACATGAAATGTCCAAAATGGGCAAATAGAGAGAGGCAGAAAATAGAGGATTGCTAGAGACTGCCCATGGCATTGGGAAATGGAGAGTGACTGGTAACTTGTGCAGGTTTTCTTTGGGGGATGACAAACATATTCTAAGCTAGATGATGGTGACATTTGTGTGACTTTGTGGATTGTCTAAAATCCATCATACACCTTAAGTAAATGAACTCTACAAAATAAATTATATTGGTATAGCTGTTTAAAAAATACAATTGAGCTGGGCACAGTGGTGCACACCTTTGATCCCAGTGACTGGAGAGACGGAGGCAGGAGGATAGCAGTTTGAGGCCAGCCTCAGCAACTTAGCAACACCCTTTCTCAAAATAAAAAATGCTGGGGGTGTAGCTCGGTGCTAAAGTGACTCTGAGTTCAATCCCCAGTATATATGTGTGTGTATACACACACACACACACACACACACACACACACAAGAGGTCAGTCATAGACTCAGTGAAGGAATCAGAGACTTGAAGAAGTTTGCTGGGTACATGAGAGGAAGAGAAAAAATTCCAGACAGAGGCAGCAGCAGGCAAACACAGGGGAGAGCCTAACAGGGGAGTATGTCATATTCAACCATAGTGTCAGTAGTGAGTAATGCCCATACAAAGAGAGAGGCCCAGGGAGACAGGAACCCTGTGTGAGTACGTGGGGCAATCATAGTTACTTAGTCATGCTAATTTTCCGTAAAGCAAAAGGGAAAACACTGATCATTGTTGCGTCTTCATTCCTTTTATACCAGAAACATCATTCTGGTATAAAAATTAGGTGATTTGGAGGGAAATGAAACTCATGATTGCAGAAAGGAGGAAAATAATAGCTAACTAAATCTACAGAGCCCTAGCTCTGTTAAGGACTTTCCTTGAATCATCTCATTTAATTGCTAGAGTACCACAATTATTTCCATTTTATATATGGTGCCACGTGGTTTTTGGTCCCTTACCTTCTTCAGGTCTTTTTTTTTTTAATATTTATTTTTCGATTGTAGTTGGACACAATACCTTTATTTTATTTATTTTTATGTGGTGCTGAGGATTGAACCTAGTGCTAGGTGAGAGCTCTACCACTGAGCCACAATCCCAGCCCATCTTCAGGTCTTTAAGCAAATGTAACTTTATCATGCTTCCTCTATTCCCCTTCCTTTATTTTTCTCCTGAGACCTCAACTCAATTTCACATGTTTCACTTTCAAAATCTTATTTAAAGTGTCTCTCCCGCTACTGGAATGAAACTTAACCTATTCGTAAGAACAGGTTAATTTGGAGCCAGGTGTGACAAGGCTGACCTGTAATCCCAGTTCCTAATGCATCAACACCCAATACATTAAAAAAAAAATACACACATACATGAGGAAATTGAGTCTCATGTATTTAGTAACGTGAGATCATACAGTTGATCACTGATTCAGTGACTCACTTTGTTGTTGTTGTTGTTTGGTTGGCTGTTTTTGTGGGTTTTGTTTTGTTTTGTTTTTTTGGTACAGGTGCTTGAACCCAGAGGCGTTTAACCACTGAGCCACATCTCCATTTTTGTATTTTCTTTAGAGACAGCGTCTTGCCCTGAGCCTAGCTAAGTTTCTAAGGCTAGCTTTGAACCTGCAGTCCTTCTGTCTCAGCCTCACGAGCCGCTGGTATCACCGCAGTGTGCCACTGCACCCAGCGACCTGCGGTCTTAAACCACTACATAATTCTACCTAGATGTAGGCAAGAAATAAGTCCCTCTAGGGACGTCGTTGGCAGTGGGGAGGAGAAAGAGGATTAGAATTGCCTGGGTTTGATGCCCCAGTGGACGTGGAGGAATGCTGAAAGGGCTCAATCTAGGATGGTTTTGGTTTCTAGATTTGGCAAATGGGTGAACAGTGATGCAATTCTTCAGGAAAAATAATATAAAGGACTCCTGGCTTGGGCAGAATGATGAAAGAAGAGAACATGTCTAATCCACCCACCTTTTGCACACTCTCGCCAGAGTACTTAGAACTGTTAACGATAAAAGACACGTAAATGCAAATCGATCCCATCAGCAGTTTGAGGCTCAGTGGGGAATGGAGGGAAGTAGGGAAAAGTCCACGGAAGTGTTTAAACTAACTCTGAGGTTAATTTTTAATGCAGATGAAACTAGAAAATGTGTTATACCCTTTGTGTGTTCAGGTCATAGCCCTATTTTCAGATTTTTCTGGACAGTGGCAGTCGTCTGCACAACTGACCATCAGTGTTTCAAGACGGCACTAGTACCGAGACCAGGACGGCCAGAACTGGGAAGCACGCCTGCCACCCTACACACCATGGCGCGAGCGTCCCGGCCACAGCCTCAGTCTGTTGATCGGGCTCAGGAAGCTCGCGCTTCAAACGACTCCCAACCCTCGGCCAGGCGCCCAGCAGAAGCGCACCGCTTGGTTCGCTGCACACCAGCCCGCGGCGTTCCGCGGCCTCCGGTCCCCAGGTGGCGCCGTGGGCTGGTAGGCGCGGCCGCCGCTCGAGTTAGCACCGTCTCCCTGGTGCGCATGCTCGCGCCGGGTGCGGGCTCACTTTTTTTTTTTTTTTTTTCCGGGCGGCCCCGGCGGCTGCGTACTGGCTGTGGGATGGGAAGTGAAGCCCCAGCGAGCGGCTGCGGCGGGGCTGTGAGGAGCAGCCAGGGGGAGGCGGCGGCGGCGGCGGCGGCGGCTGGTCGGTGAGCAGCTGGAGAGAGCGGAGCCGGGGCGGAGCACCTGCAGGCACGGGCGGCGGCTCCACCATGGCGATTCGCAAGAAGAGCACCAAGAGTCCCCCGGTCCTGAGCCATGAATTCATCCTGCAGAATCACGCGGACATCGTCTCCTGTGTGGCGATGGTCTTCCTGCTGGGGCTCATGTTCGAGGTGAGCCCGCCTGCGTCCCAACCGCCCGCGCTGCCGCCCCCAGCCCGGGCCCCAGCTGCCAGCCCCCGGTCGTGCACCCCGGACTCTGGGGTCTTGGACCCGGGGAGGTGCGGGCCTGTCCCCCCCCTGCCCCACGACTCTGGCCCCACTCGCCCCTGGCCGGCGCGGCGAAGGGGAGCCCCCTTGGGCCTCGCCGCCGCCCTCAGGGCGTGGGGGCCGCCGCGCCGCCCCCTCCCGCCGGCCGCGCAGTTCCTGGTTCCCGCGAAGGGTTACGTGGCAGCCGCCGAGGGGCCGACGGCGGGCGGGGGCGGCCCCTGCGCTGCCGAGCTGGCTCCGCGAGGTGGGCGGACTTGGGGGCGGCCCGCGGCGGCCGCCCGAAAGTCCTGCGCAGGCCGGGCAGCGCGCCGGCCCCCGGGCCACAGGCCCCAAGTGACGGGGTCCCTAGTAGGACAGAGGTGGAGGCTAGCGAGAAACCGACGGGGTCGGACGTCTGCTGCCGGCTTGGAGGGCGGCGATCGCAGGGGACGGGCACACCGGTGGCTTCGAGTCTTATCACCAGTTAGCGAACTTTTTACCCTGGCGCTGGCTTTTGCCTTGCTAAAGAAACGAGGTCTGATACAGAAATCGAGGTTCTGAGCAGCTGTGCGGTGGAGTCGAGTGATACGGTTTCTTGAGGCAGAAGAGACTGAGAATGTCAGGAGTGTGTAAATTCTCTTCCCACGTATCTCGTATTTTGATGACTTACTTAACAGCTGTTGAATGTGGGTAATAAACTTTGCAAGGTGAACGTGTAACATCCTACGGGTTTTTTTCCTCACTTCCCAGCACACACGCCCATTCCCCGCCTCTCCACTCCCATGGCTCCTGGGTCTCATCATATACTCTGATTATTTTATTTATTGTGTTGTCTCCTCTTCCCCTGGCATATAACCTTAGTAAAAACAGATATTCTTTTTTTTACCGGTAGTACTGGGGATTGAACTCAGGACCTGAGATATGCTGCGTAAACGCTTTACCATTGCGCTGCATCCCCAACCCTTTTTAATTTGCGAAAGGATTACACCATACTGCCCAGGCTGGCCTCAAACTCGCCTTCCTCCTGTCTCAGCCTCCCCAGTAGCTGGGATTACAGGCATGTGCCACTACACTCAGCCTTGCTAATTTAAGTTTTTTTTTTTTTTTTTTAACTAATCTATTTCCATCACCTAGAATAGTGCTCTAAAAGGATGAGTGAAATTAAGAATCCTTGAGAAAAGCTAATGGAGTGAAAGACTGCTAGCAACCAAAAGATGAATACATTTTTAAATGAAGCCCATTTGGGGTTTTTAAAAATGTTATTAAATAACTTAACATGTATTTTTGTTTTATCTTCTCCAGTGGGCTTTTCTGATAGAGTAGTGTATGGTTGAAGCCACTACTCAGGAGGTAGCAACTATAGATGCCATATGTCAAGCTTACTAAGTGATCCAAGTCTTAGACTTGGTTTTTCTGCTCTTTATAAGGAAATAAAAATTACCTGTACTAGCCTTCTCACAGCGATTAAATGATCAAGTAATATGATGTGAAGACATCAGACACTTTACAAAGGATCATAAATGTGTGGTATTTTAAAAACAGGATTAGGTATATAGCTCAGTGGTAGAGTATTGATCACCAGCAACACACAAAATACAATGCTAAACATTTGTACTCTATGAATTTGATATTTTTATATACTTTCTGTTTTGATATTAAAAGTATTGCTTTCATATTTGCATTATACTCACCAGTTTTGCATAACCTGCCATAACCCATTTCCACATGGTAAGAATTTCAGACTTAAAAATGACTTAGAAGTATTATGACCTGTAAGGCTTATTTCAAATGCTTTAATGAAAAGAACATAAATCAGAAATTTGGACACTTAGAAATACTGTGGCTTTGCTTTTATGTGACCTACTTCACATTTTTCATCCCATCTCCTAGGGAAGTTCACTACCCATACCTGGCCCTCATGTTAATGATTTTTTAACAGTGAGTGGATTTTTCACCTTTGTGTTAATCATCTAAATAAACACAACAAAAATACTAAGTAGGGCTGGGGATGTAGCTCAATGATAAGAGTGCTTGCCCAGCTTGCATAGGGCCTTGGGTTCAGTCACCAGCACTGTAAAAGCAAACCCACATCTAAATAGAAGTTTTTAAAGCCACTTCAAAAAGGACTGTTAAAATGGTATACAGAAGAGGGAAATTTGTACAAGTCGTCTATTTTACTACATGTTAAAGTTATAAGATTTGAAAGCACACTGTCTACATATGGGAAAGTATTAACTAGGTAAATTTTGCTAATTGACTTCTAAAATAATTGCCATTGAACTTCAAAGTTAACATAATTATAAAATTATAGCACTTGTGCTGAAATAATAGAAAAGTTGATATTTTTGCAGAATCATTAAGTCTTTCACATAAGTATATTGAGGAAGTATCAGGATTTACAGTGAAATCGGCAAAGAAATAACGTACTTTATTTATTACCAGCCCAAATGAAAAAGCAGTGTAGATATACTGTAAAAGCATGGATTCTGAAGCTAAGGGATCCATGTTCAAGTTATGCCATCTCAGAACTTGTTTCCTTATCTATAAAGTGGGGTTTGTTGGGTTACTCAGAATTAAAATTAGCTAATACATATATTGCCTACTGCAGTGTTTGACTTACAAGAGGGTAGCTATCAAAGTTGGCGAATAGATGATAGCATTTTTATAGGGGAGAAGAGATTCTATGTACTGAAAAGAAATCTGTTTGGGACAAACATAAATGTTTCATTTCTATAAACTTTGTTATCAAAAATTATGAATTTTGAGGGGATGGGGTTGTGGCTCAGTGGAAGAGCGCTTGCCTTAGAACTTAGGGTTCCTAAGTTGCTTAGGCTGGTATGAGTGGGGCACTGAGTTCTATCCTCAGCACCACCTAAATAAATAAAATAAAGAATTCTTTCTAAAAAACAAAAATTGTAAATTTTGAAATCATGGATTTTTTTTTTTACAATCTATCTGTACACATAATACAGATTAATTAATGCTTCACATTTGAGTTAAAAAATTAAACATTCATTTAAGGATACTTGGGAAGCTTTCTGAAAGTAATGTGAAGGAGGAGTGAAGAGTTAGGAGCTCACAAGAGAAATATTTCTTCCTAAGAAGGGGCAGACTTTCCACATAGATGTTCAAGAATTTATAGATTTTTTTGTGCCTTACAGGTTTGAGGGGGGCACTTAGAATTACAATGATCTTGGAACAGTTTTTGGAGATTTGTTTGATTTTTAAGCACGGTTTGTATTAATTCCAGCATTTTTTTTCCTTCCCTCCTYTCTTCCTTTTGCAGTACTGGGGATTGAACCCAGGGGTGCTCTACCACTGACCTACATCTCCAGCTTTTTTTATTTCATTTTGAGGCAGGGTTCCTAAGTTGCCTAGGCTGGCCTTGAACTTGTGATCCTCCTGCCTCAACATCCTCACTTTCTGGGTTTACCAGCATTGTGGCACCATGTCCACCTCTCTCTTTTTAAGAACATAGTTTTATATAAGTTGGTAGAGAAACAGAATTTGATATTCAGAAATCAACTTCACCTTTCAGGAATCAAGACCATGTTGTAATCATACCTTTCTTTAACAATTGTAAAATACTTAACATCTCTGTATAAGAAAAAAACTGGCAACTACTTAATTAAAGCTTTTATGATATTCTTGACTTTGCATGTAGCATAGGATTAATTAAGATATAAGTAAATCTCATTTTTTCTCATAAATGGAAACAATGGTATAAATGTCCCAAACTGTCTTAAACTCTTGTTTTTATTTATTTATTTTTTGTGTGTGTGCAGTATTATTTCTATAGCATATTTACATTCTAAACGAATTTAGTTTGTTTTAATTCCAACACTGGTCAAGGTGTGAAGCTTAGGAGACCTGCAGATGATTAGGAGAATGATTTCTGGTTTAATTTTTCAAACTTCTTAGGGTATGTAGTTTGTGTTTGTCCTCCTCTTATTCTGTTTAATATCTCATGTTAAACCAGCTGGAGGCTAGGTTTTAATTTATTTGAAAGCATAGCATAAAAGGATAATCTTAATTTTTGTTGCTTTTAGAATTTCATACTAACTTTATCTTTGAAAAGTTTTGTTTGTTTGTAAAGGACTCTTTAACACAGAGTTTTCTTAGCTGTGATAATGGTGACCTCGTATTAGACACAAGAAACAGGAATGGAGGCAGGAGGACTGTTTGTGTGAAGTCCAAAGATATAAAAACTGATTCAGTTATCAATCAACTTTATTTTTTAAAGCTGGGGTTGTGGCTCAGTGGTAGAGTACTTGCCTAGCATTCGTGAGGCACTGGTTTCGATCCCTGGCACCACATAAAAATAAACAACAACAAAAAAACTTCATTAAAAAAATAAAATAAAATAAAATTTGTGATTGTTTTTATAATCACATGAACTGGGTGTGGTGGCTCAACCTGTAATCCTAGCTACTCTGGAGCCTGAGACTGGAGGATCCCAAAATCAAGGTCAACCTGGGCAATTTAGTGAAACCTATCTCAAAAAAAAAAAAAAGAAAACAAAGAACGACTAGTATGTCGAGGCCCTGGGTTCACTCTCCAGGACTGGGGGGAAAAATCACATGAAAGTTGTGTTACCCTGAAAACCCATACTGTCATTCTCCTGTAATGATTCCTTGTAGATGGCCCAACTTTGAACACAGTAGCTTTACTAGCCTTTTCTGTTCAAGCACTCTTCCTATCTACCTTACTTCAGTAACTCACTCTGGTGGTAAAATCCTATCTGGACTTTTTTATCCCACAAATCTGATTCATTTCCAGATCCTGAATTCCAGGATACCAGAGTTCAGCCACAACCTACTTCTTGTTCACCTTTTCATTCTGCTACTCATAGGGCATTTCTTTACCTAGTCCAGACTATTGTGGTACCTTGGCCACTTTCATTTTCTCCAGTATATTTGCCCCCTTGCTGCTTTGCTTTTCTCTTGTATTGCCTTTATTCACCTATAGTAACCCCCATTCTTCAGCCACTGGGATATGTTCTAAAACCCTACTGGATATCCAGAACCACAGATAGTACCAAACCCTATAGATACTATTTTTTTCCTATACATATCTGTGATCAAGCTTAAAATATTAGGCACAATAAAAGATTAATAACAACTAATAATAAAGTAGAACATTTATAACAGTATTCTGCAATAAAAGCTATATGAATGGAGAATGATGGCATATGCCTGTAATCCCAGCTACTTGGGAGGGGAGGCAGGAGGATTGCAAGTAGGAGGCCAGCCTCAACTACTTAGCAAAACCCTCTCTCATAGTAAAAACTGAAAAGGGGATGGGGATGTAGCTTAGTGGTAAAACATAACTGGGTTCAATCCCCAGTACTACCCAAAAAAGGAAAAAGAAAGCTATGTGAATATGGTCTCTTTCTCAAAATGTCCTATTATACTGTACTTATACTTCTTCAATTGATGATAGAGGATACATGATGAGGTGAAGTGAGGGGAATGATGCAGGCCTTAAGCTACAATGCAAGGGGTTACTGAACACAAGCACTCCCTCAGCAGTTGATCGGATAACCAAGACAGCTACAGATACCAAGATAGCCAGTTTCACATCTAGTGTGGATATGCTGGACCATGGTGAGTGATTAATGTCCTGGGCTGGATAGGTAGGAGACAGCATAAGATTTCATCCCCCTGTATGGAACATTTATACAATTTAAAACATATTCCTGAAGTTTTCCATTTAATAGCTTTAGGCTGCTCATTCATTACTATGGGTAGTTAAAACCACTGGAAGTGAAACCAGGATAAGGGAGACTGCTATTTCTGCTTCTTCTGTGCCTCAATTCAGATTGCTTAGGGTTACCAAGAAAAGCCATACATTGCATGCTGATAAATATATTATGAATCAGGCTTCTAACCTCATAACATAAATAACATCCTTTTATCTTTTTACTTTTTCCTAGCCATATAGGTACAATGTAAATATTCATCACACAGGTTCCCATTGCGTTTAACATGTGTGTGACATTGTTTTCCCCACACATGAGGGGGAAAAAAACAACGTGAGTTTATTAGGTATAGATTTCTTCAGTTTCCTGCCTTTTGAAATTACCTATCTTATCTCTCTTGTCCATTGCAGGTTAAGCATACCTAATACAAAATCTATATTGAGCTAAAATCCAGAACTTTGAGTCTATCCCCAAGATACCTCATTGTGTATTAACAGATATTCCAAAATTCTAAAAAGTTGAAATCTGAAATACTTCTGATTCTAAACATTTGGAATAAGGAAGACTCAGCCTGTACTATCTTGTTCCCAGGCTAAGAGGATTTTCAAGTGTACTCATCCTTACAGTGTCATTCCCTACCACATTTCTTTAGTCAGTTTCCCTTTTCTGTCTTCAGTGTTTAATTTCTCCCTTTTTTGTAGCACCTGCCCTGTTGCTCATTGCACAAGCTTTGTCTCTCCCATCCTATAAACAGTATTACAGGCTGGCTCATCAGCAGAGCGCTTGCCTAGCACATGTGAGGCACTGGATTTGATCCTCAGCACGACATTTTTAAAAATAAACAAAATAAAGATATTTAATCTGTTGCATTCTCTCTGCCACATCTCTTTTGAAACTTTTGACTTAAAACTACACGTTTTTAAAATGTTTCCCCCTTGGTTTTTGAAATGTCAGGCTCTCTTCATTCTCTTTGTTTCTCTACTAGGTAACCTTATAGTAACAAGTACCTGAAATCATCAATTTATAAAAGGCTTAATTTGGCTTACAGTTTTGGAGGTTTCAGTTTGTGGCTGGTTGGCCCCATTGCTTTTGGCCTATGGCAAAATAGCACATCGTATCAGAGAAAGCATGATAGAGCAAAAGCCATGCATCTCATGGCAGTGGTGGGAGGAGAGACCCCAGAATCCCACAGTCTCCTTTGAGACCATACCCCCAGTGACCAGTAGCCCTCCCACTAGGCTCCCCCTCTTGAAGGTTCAATCACTTCTTAATAGTGCCACTTCCTGGGGTCCAAGCCTTTAGCACAGGGGCCTTTGGGGGTACACTTATGCAAACAACCATAGCAGAGAGATATATTTTGGCTTTTTGTTTGCTGTCTCTACAGGTCTGATGTTGTCCTACTTCTTTACAAATACTGTACACTTTCCATGTGTGACTTGTGTACTTTCACAGCCTTAACTTCTGTTTGTAAATGAAAACTCTCAAATCTTTACCTGCTAAGTTCTAGACGAGGCTTTAGGTGCCTGCTGCTTTTTCCACCCATGTATCACAAATCCCAGTTTGTCCAAACTCAATTTGTTCTCTTTTGCCCAAAACCTGCAGTTCCTGTATTCCACACATTTTTATAGTAGTAGTATTTTTCACCTAGTTTTCATCAATAAGTAATCATCAATAAATAATCCTTGACGCTTTTTCTCTTGCTGTCCAAGAATTATTCTGCTCATGAGTGCCTCCTGTGTCCACTACCATTGCCTTACCTTCATGTGCTCTCCTGTCTCCACTGCCAGGCCTTACCTTCATGTGGCCTCTTGCACATGTCCTTGTCTTTTATTTGGCTTCCATGCTTACTCTAATTGGTATTTTATTTGATATTTATTTAATAATATTGATCAGTTGCCTGATATGTGCCAGGCCCTCTGCTAGGTCTCTAAACATACAGTGGCAAGCAGAAAAAAATAAGCTCCTAAGAGCTTATTTTTGTAATGGATGAGACAAACTAATCATACCAGATTGTGTATTTCAAAGGAAAGACACACAGTTCTCTGAGATAATCTGACAGAGGAATACCCTGCTCTAAAAAGACAGGGAAGTCCTCTTAGAAAAGATATAATTGAACTGAGATCTAGGGGAAGGTTTGTTCAAGGACCCTGTAGAATGAGGAACTACAGGGGGCCAGGGATTGGGAAGAAAGGGTTTGGGATGAGGCTGTGGAGAGGAGTCAAACAATGGGGAATTGTGTAGACCACATTATCCTAAAAAGATAGGAATCCAGTGAAGGATTTTTACAGGTACGGTGGGAAACAGGGTAACATGATTAGAAGATCATTCTAGTGCCGTGGGGAGTGGATATGAGGGGGCTTGAGAGACCACTTAGCAGGCCAGAGCCAGCAGTCAATTTCTAACAGGCATAAATTAACATCCCCCTCTCTATTTACAGTCATGCTAAAAATAAAATCTAAAATACTTAGTTCAACAAGCAAGGTACTTTCTAGTACTCCATTTATGTTTCTAGACTTTTTTGCTACCTCTTTGTGACATATGTGCTATGCCTGGCCTTGTATTTACTCCTGCCCTTACCTTGTTTCTTCTACCTGTATTGGCCTCTTCACCCCGCCTTGTGAGCCTAGGGAACTTCTGTTTTCCAACAAGGCACAGTCCCAGTATTACATCCTCTGAGGAGTCTTTCCAGAATAGGCTTTGCTCCCTACCCCAGGGAAAAAACAAATTCATCATTTATCCAGAGTGCCCACAGTGAATGCTGTAGAGGTACTGATTATACAGCATTATAACCATTTGCTTATTTGTCCTCCGATACAGCTAAACACCTTGTTATCAGGGATTATTTTATATTTCATTCCTTCTGGATTTTATCCTTTCTTGTGCCTGGTGCCTATAAACGTTCCTTTCTGTTCTGACCACTTTACTTTTAGCAGCAGTCAAGTCAATTAAACATTTATTGACTACTTAACTGTGCCAGGTGTTTGGGAGATTAACACGTAGATCCTGTGTGTGATCCATTTTTCTCATGCTTTAACTGTACTTCCTTTTATTAATTTTCACTTAAAATTTTCTTAATAGGAACTTTGTGTTCATCATATAGGTCTACAGTAGAGAATCATTATTTGTGAAATCATTATTTACAGAAACTGCAGAGGTTATTGCTTTTAAAATCTTACAGAGATGAATTACACAAGTTCATCTAAATTACAGAATACTTTGGTGGATTACCATAACTCACAGGCTCAACTCTGGTGATCAGGAATTCCCATGTGTTTGCCTAGCATGGTGCCAGCAGAACTTGGGTGCCCTTGGTTCTTGGATTTGGGAAAACAGAATTGATAGTATTTTTCCCCTAATCTGCTTATTTGGAGGAGGATCACAAATTTATTTAATTGTTTTTTTTTCTTTTTTTTTTCTTTCTAGATAACAGCAAAAGCATCTATCATTTTTGTTACTCTTCAGTACAATGTTACCCTCCCCGCAACAGGTATGTAGTTTTTGTTATGAATTTCCTAGAAGTTCAGTTGAACATACTTGGAGTACTCATAAACACTAGATTCTCCACTTATTTTCATAATCTCTTCCATGATTAGACTGAACCCTATTTGATAATTTATGATACAAGAACTGATGTTTTAGGTTGACTCCATCCTATACGTTATATGAAAATTAGTTTTACATGTTTGATGTTTATTATATATATTTTTGTGAATGAGTTTGAAATTCCATCAACAAACTTTTTGTATTGCCATCTCTGCCCTCAGATATTTTCATAAGAAAATTCTAAGAATAGATATTTTAAATATAATTTTAAATAATTGTTTGGTCAAGACTTCTACAAGCACATGTTCAGGTTTAGGTTTTTTGACATATGAGTCATATTTTGGACCTGGAATAACAATTCCTTTAAACTTATTTCCATCTTTTATTGTGCTCTACCGCTAGCAACCATTTTGATTAGAGAAAATGTCAGAGTTACCAGGTAATTGCATCCAAACTATACTTAGTGTTTTTTTTTCAAAAAGTTTTATTTCTAAACTGTGCTATGTGAAAGTCAAGTTGTTATGGGAAGTTGATTGCAGTTAAGTACAGTAATATAACTAGCATTAGGAAGGACTATTTGGTTAATAAAATATGAACATATTTAGGAAGTCTTGAGAACAAGTGTGAGCAGTTCACAAGTATGTGATTTAGATTTGTTTTGAAAAATTAAAGCAGTTGCAAGGATTAAAAACAATGTTAAGTAGTGGTTGCATCTGTGTCTACTGCTTACAGGTCAAAAGTAAATCAAATCCATTTTTCCTTCAGAATCATGGTGGTAGTGTCCAGTTTGAAAGTAGAAGTAGAAGTTTTGAAAATTTTTGAAAAAACAGAAGTTTTGAAAGTTGTTGAAAAAACACACAAATAGCCAAGCATAATTTTATCAACCATGATCTCTAGCCCTGGGATAATGTCAGTTATTGAATGTGGCCTTCCCTTCCCTGTTTTTTTGGTCTTTGATGGCTGTAACTAACATGTGTCAAGTCTCTGTAAGTAATTTCTGAAGTTTTGGGTTTCTAGATAGTTTCCTCCTCAGTTTTCATTGCCCCTTAAGACTCATGATGTCCAAGAGCAAATTATCTATGATATTTCTGTAGAACTTTTTTATCAATTAGGTTAATGTTCTTTTGTTTGTTTCCATAACTATGTTGTACTTGGTGCTGTTTTATAATCTCATGTATATTTTTGTGTATGTATGTCCTTTTTGGCCTTCAGAAGAACAAGCTACTGAATCAGCATCCCTTTATTACTATGGTATCAAAGATTTGGCTACAGTTTTCTTCTACATGCTAGTGGCGATAATTATTCATGCCATAATTCAAGAGTATGTGTTGGATGTAAGTATACAATCTTAGAAATCTATACTTTGTAAAGCACTAGCTCTCCATATTATGATAGTCATATATTAAGTATGTTTTACAATTTATTCTTAATTACTAATACCTGTTTTTATTTTTAGAAAATTAACAGGCGAATGCACTTCTCCAAAACGAAACACAGCAAGTTTAATGAATCTGGTCAGCTTAGTGCATTCTACTTTTTTGCTTGTGTTTGGGGCACATTCATTCTAGTCTCTGTAAGTATGATCTTCTCAGTGTGTTCTCCTTTCTCACCAAGATTAAGAACTCTGCTAATGAACTTGTGTAAATTATTACACACAAATAGCCAACCATAACTTTATCAACCATGATCTCTAGCCCTGGGATAATATCAGTTATTGAATGTGGCCTTCCCTTCCCTGTTTTTTTGGTCTTTGATGGCTGTAACTAAAGTTTCAGTGATAAATCTCCCTCAGCTAGTTTTTTATACAGCAAAAATTCTAAGCCGTTTACTATTTCAGAAAGCCCAACACATTTTAGTCACTGTGGATGTTATTTCTATATCTTATAGTCATTTGTAGATAGCTGTGTATTAGCAAAAAGCATGTCAGTGATAGTCTTTTTAGATTACATGAGCTGAAATATTTCCCGTCATTTCCACCTTTAAAAACAGTCCAGTTGTTTCCCAAACAATTTAAAACGTGTAGTTCTCAAATAAGACATTCAAAACCTTTAGTTGTATTACTCTAATGAGRAAAGAGAAGACAATATCAACTTTAGTAATCAGAAATGGCAATCCCTTTTATTCAACTACTACTCCATGGTTTATAATACTTCTGAGTTTGTTGAGCACATAATTTCTTTTTCATCACCGTGTTAGAGATGAGTAACAGGCAATGTGAATTTTCTAGGATATAACACTTAAATGTTAGAGATAAAACTCAACTTTTCAAGCCAGTGCTCACTGTCTTTTACTCTGCCGTTTTAAATAATACTTTATTAATATATGTAAATTTCAGTTTAAAATCTATCTTTTAAATTCTTTAAAAAACTAAGAGTTACAATTCTATGGGGAAATATTTTCATGAAAGGTAAGTCACTTAAGATTGGGGGAATTGTTTCGTTTTGACATATGTAATAATTCTCAGTACATCTAGTTATCTAACAAAAAGATTTGGGTAGTATCTTATGGATATAATATCATAAAATTTGGCAGCATTGTGGTCCTCTTGTCTCCTATCAGGAACTACATCTTTTCCTAAGCTCCTTCTTTGATTACCCAAAGTAAAATTCATTCCTTCCATGACTGTTATACCTATGCCTCACACCATTTTGTTATTTATTGCTTATGTTAGTGTGCATACATGAATTTTTTTTTTTACTGTACTGGATTGAAAGATTTTTGAAGGTGAGAAATTACACCTTATTTGTATAAGTCATACTGATTTTCACTTTGCAAAAGTAGGCAATTAAAATTGTACTGAAAATAACTAAGCTGAAAAGCATGCCAGGGCACACGTCTATAATCTCACTGTCTCGGGAGGCTGAGGCAGGAATATTGCAAGTTCAAAGTGAGCCTCAGTGACAGTGAGGCTCTCAGCAACTCACAGAGACCGTCTTTCTAAATAAAATACAAAATAGGGTTGGGGATGTGGCTCCGTGGTTGAGTGCCCCTGAGTTCAATTCCCTGTACCCAATAAATAAATAAAGCTTGACTGGAGTGAGCTTTTTGGATATAGAGAACTATAAATGTTTGCATAATACTCACAGGCTTATTTCCCTGTCTTCTTTCTTAGGAAAACTACATCTCAGATCCAACGATCTTGTGGAGGGCTTATCCCCACAACCTTATGACGTAAGTCGTTTTTAAAGGCTTTTTAAAATTAAAGAACATGATCATAACATGAATAAGCAGAACTCATTATTCTCTTTAAAACTTCAGGCAAAATCATAAAATATGTGAAAGCGTCTTGGCAGTCCCACTACCTTAAGAGAAAAGTTACTATGAACTTTTTTCATTTGTATAATCTTTTAAATATCTTCCTTAGCTTGAGACATCTGGTTTTAATGGTAATCTTAATTTGGTACACTCTTCTTTTTCCTTTCTTCCTGATTCTTTCTCTTCTTCATGGATCCATTCTCTCCATGCTTTTGCTTCCCGCTCTCCAGTCTCTTGTCATTCCTTCCTTCCTTCTCTTCTGCTATAAACTTCTTGAGTTTAGGGATTCTTTCTTTTTGATATTTCTAGTCCCCAGTTTTTTATAGTGCTTCCAGGAGCTCAGTGGTTACAAAGATGTTTAGCTAAATGCTCATTCTTTAATTCTTATTCTAGTACATCCATGTTAATGTTCCTGGCTACGTTAGCCTATTTTGGTATTTTGCATTCCTGAGTTTATCATTTTGGCTTATATTTTATGTATTTTAGTCTTGATCTATAATCATTCCATTTATGTAAATCTTGTATTGGGCCCATACCCACCAAGACTATGTACCAGATTATAGTAGAAATTATCTCCTGTTTTTATTTAATATCCTTATTTTGCTGGGTAAATTATAGATGCTTGTCACCTCGACAGTATTCCCTATTCTCTGTGATTTGAGAACTGGAGAAAAGAGAAAAACGAAATAGTATGACCATGCATATCTTTGTTTGAAGTCCAGCAATAATACCCTTTTACTAGGTCATGCTCTGATTTTTAACAATTATATTAATTCAGTGAACTTTTACAGAATGGGACTATATTTCCCCCTGAGAAACTACTTCAGATTGGCTCTATATTCTCTATTTTAGAATTCTGGAAGAGAGGGCAAAGGGAGAGAGAATAAAGAGGACTTAGAAGGGCTAGGGGGATATAATGTAAAGAGAAGAACTATTGATTCTAGACTAATTAGGATGTATCTCCTGGGGAACACTCCTGTGTCTTATTCTACTCTTTAACTCTGGCTCTGCCTTCATTTATTTGAGTGTGTCTCCATGTTTCCAACCAGGTAGAATTACCATATTTCCCCAAGGAGAAAAACTTGAGTATTTGAAATTGGGATTATCCCAGTTTCAGGTGATTGGTATCTGTGTGCCTTCACTTTTGTGTTGGTCTTTTTGCCCATCTTGTTCCCATTTTGATGAAATCTTATAGATCTAAGGGTTGATCGTGTTCCTTGTGTTTTCAGTAGATAACATGACCTACTAGTCAGTATTAATTAACTCATGGACAAAGAGCTGTGGCTCCTCTGGATTGGCTTGCATAGTTAGTCTTTGCCTGTTGCTTAATCCAGGGGGACTGACCGGTGGGAATATCCCAGGAAAATAGGGGAAAGCAGCTGCTGAAGAGTTGTTTAAAGATACACAGAACATTTTCTGAAATAACACAAAGATATCTGCTTAGTATATCCTGATTTCTAGTATTTGTTTACTTTATTTTTAAAAAATATTATGCTTTAAAAGATGCTTTTTGCTTTCTTGTGTTGTACAGATTTCAAATGAAGTTTTTCTACATATCACAGTTGGCTTACTGGTTTCATGCTTTCCCTGAACTCTACTTCCAGAAAACCAAAAAAGTAAGCTGGTATTTTGTAGTTTTAAAAATTGTCTTGTCATTTTTTTTCTTTTTTTGAAAAGTCTTTCTAAAATTAAATACTTTCTCTCTTCTTTGCCCCCCCTCAACTCTTCTCCTATCGTTCTCCCACCTTTCCCCTTTCCACACAGACTGAAATTCTTAAATATTTCTTGAAAAAGACTTTAATCATTGTTTTAACTCAGAGGGGAACCTTTTACCTTTGACATGCTAATTGCTCATTTTAAAAATTGTATCAGTGGTGATGTAAATTTAATTAGAATTTAAATTCTTAAAATATAATATTAGTTTCATCTTATTGATATTCTTAGCAATTATTTGAGACAAAAAGGATTAGTCTGATTATTCCACAACTAACAGTCCTGTGTTGTGCATATTTCAAATGGAGCTTTTCTACTATCACAGTTAGCTCCCTAGTTTTATGCTTTCTCCAAACTCTACTTCCAGAGTAGTCCCTGAGCAAGTCCCAAAGAAAAATTCAGCATTGAAAAACAGAGTAAACTATGGTTAAATATTCACCAGGGAAGCCTTTCCTGAAATGGGTGGAACATTCCTTTTTTAGCATGTGGGAAAGATATTTGTTTGAACCTGCTGAAACACTGTATTTTCCTCCCTTCTAGTTCTACCCTCAGTACTTCTAAAGTCAGGCTTTCATAATGTCACACACCCAAAAAAAACAGCTTTATTCCTTTCACTTAACTCTTTCTCCTCTGAAACCTATACTAGCTCCTTATTGCTTTAAACTAAAGTAAAGCCGCGTACCTTTGTTCTAAGGATTTCTCCCATCTATACCATTTCTTCCCTGGTCTTTCTTCCTTTTGCTCTCTATGCTTCATTCACACTGGTAACTCTAATTTTATAATCATGGCACATCAGTTCTTTTTCGTGGAATTCCTTTCCTCTGATAAGTTAATCAAACACCTTTGTTCTCTTTTTTCCCCGGGAAGTGATTAAAAAAACGCCATAATATGATAGGCTGTATGGAATTTATTTCAAAATAGTATCAGATGAGGGTAAGTGATATGATGTAATGAAACAAGTTTGGTCATTTGGAAATAACTATCGAAAATGAGTTGTGAATATATGGAGATTCATTTTATTCTCTGCCAGTTGTATATATATTTATAGTTTTCTACACTTAAAATGTTTTTTAAGTTAGAGAGGGGATCGTCTTACTTTCAGAAATACCTTTCTAAGTAGAAATGTGACAGCCTGTCCAGTGACCAGTTTGTCTTTGCCCTTCCAAAAGCTACACTTATTTTTATATGTACTGCAAATAGTTGATTCATGATATAGGCCTTTGTTTTGTCACTGAATTAGACAACACAATTAGAAAACAGCACATTAGAGCCCTGTGCTGTGGCACACCAGTTCTTTTGATGTTGGTTTCTTAAAAAGTAGAATGTTTTTCCAGTTAACTTAATTGTAAGGATTAGGAAGAAGATCCTTAATTATTTTAAATGTTTGACTTTTAACTGTCTTAAGATAAAATTATGGGGCTGGGGTTGTGGCTCAAGCAGTAGCGCGCTTGCCTGGCATGCGTGCGGCCAGGGTTCCATCCCAGCACCACATACAAACAAAGATGTTGTGTCCGCCAAATACTAACAAATAAATATTAAAATTCTCTCTCTCTCTCTCTCTCTCTCTCTCTCTCTCTAAAAAAAAAAAAAAAAAAAAAAAAAAAGATAAAATTATCAGGCCCACAGCTTCTAGTAGCTCTTCCATATTTAGTAAGCTCCTAATGTTAATCATAGGTGTCGTAGAGCTGTACTGTCCAAAAAGGTAGCCACTAGCTACATTCAAATTAATTATAGTTAAATAAAAACAATTCACTTTCTTAGTCATTCTGGCCATATTTCTTCTATCCTTTAGCTATGTGTAGCCAGGATTTATCTTTTTGGATAAGGAAGATAAGTAACATTTCTATGATTATTGAAAGTCCTTTTGTACCATGGTTCAAATATTTTAAGCTTTCTTTAGGTACTTGTATACCCATGAACATAATACCTCTGGGTTTCGTTATTAATCCATGTCTATATCATGTTCACCGACCCTAGTAAGAGGSACATTTTAAAGTAATTGTTCATTTTAGTTCCTGAAGCTCTTATCAGTTCCTGCCAGATGGCATTTCTCCAGAAATGCAATCTAATTTTTATGGGATAATTTGCATAACTTAGAACTTAACTGAAACTATTTTTAACACCTACATGTGACAGTTGAAAGTAACTTGTTTCAAGTAATTAACATAATTTGAAAGTAACAGCTGCAAATGTGTTAAACAGTTTCTTAAAATTTAGTCTATGAAAATTATTTTTAGAAGAACTGTTTACTGGAAGAAACTAGTACAGTGATTGTTTTGACCAATCCTACAGATAAATGAAGAAAGGAACACTGTTTAGCAGTTTAAGAGGTGTTTTAGTCACAAATAACTTAATTTCTTGTAAGAGGAAATTTAAAGCACATATACTGTGTACCTTTCAATAAGAGAATGAACAATTTTCCATTTTGCCTATGAGAAGATTCAAAATGTCATTTCTTAGCTTGGCAAGGAGGCATGCACCTGTAGCCCCAGCTATTCAGGAAGCTGGGGCAGGAGGATCACATGAACCCATGAGTACAAGGTTAGTCTGGGCAATACAGTGATACCCTGTCTCCCAAAAAATAAATAAATAAATACTTCTTAGTTTCTTAGCCAATTTGAATCTGTGACCCTTTAGGGAGGTCATGAAATAGCCATAAGTTTTATTTCTAATATTCAGTTTTACATTGATTTTATTTATGCACACACACACACAYATATATATATAGAAATAACTGTTTATTTTTCCTCACTCCTACTTCATAAAAGTTTTCTTCACACTTTTTCCCATGCAACTTCAGTGTTAATATCTCCCTTCCACTACTACAGCCACTTTTTTAATCATTTAACAAAGATTTTCTAGAGTCCATCAAGTTTATGTCTTTACGGGTTCCTATTAGACCTCAGTTAGCATTTTTAAATATTATTGGCCAAAGTTTTTCAAACTTGTGTGCCTTACTCAAATATTTATTTGTTGCTCGAGACAGTCAATATGGATTCCCGTAATATGAGAGCTTTTTACATTTTTAAGAATAATATTGCACCATCTGGGACTTGGGGGGGAAAATCTGCCTTAGTATATATGTGATAGTTTGTATTAAAGTTTGTTTTTTAAATGTAGCATTGTCACGAAATGTATTTTCTTCTAAAAAAAAAAGTTTACTAAAATACAGTTATCTGTTTTAGTAAAAAAAGTTGTAATAACAACTAAAATGAATCTGTTTATTCATCTTAAATAAACAAGCAAAGCTTCATTGTGGCTCCTGGTAGAACAAGTTAATTTATATAAAAAAAGTATAGTACAACGTATGAAAAGGTGTTGAGAACCAAATTGACTTTCTCAGCCACTTTTTATTCATCTAGACTGTAGTTTCTAGAGCAGTGATGAGCCATCCTTGAACAGCTTGCTTGACTCCCTGATTGAAATCTGTAATGTAACCAGTGAACGATTTTGAGAATTCCCTCAAGAGGGCCAAGATTTACCCAGCCTCCTCAGTTCACTCCCATTCCCCACCCCATATAAAACAAGTAAGACCCAGAGACCATGGTGCTATGCAAGGTCTTTGTCAGCCTCAGATGTGTGAGCACCACACCAATAGGGACATACCCCATGGAGATTGGGGGATGTCGGAGGAGTTTGAACTTGGACTGTGACACTAAAAGCAGCCATTTTCTAAGTAAAATTCATCAGCTTAAAAATTATGTTATACCTCCTCCACTGTGGTTTCTTAATCATTGGAGGTTGCCTGTAACCAGAGTGTGTGTTCCCTAGTTAACCACAGTCCCCACCACTACTTGTGGTATTATACTCATTTCTGTCACTCATGTTTATTTTTGGGTTTTTTTGGTATTATTATTGTTTTTATCTCTTATGCAGAGATTAACTTGCTCAAAATTACACAGTAATTGGCAGAACTAACCCATTTTCTTACCCATTTTTCCCCCCTATGGTAGGCTTTAGGTATACAAGCATTGCTTTAAAAACAAGGGACTGTTACTTAGAAAAGAGGTTCTTGATACATTTGACTTTTTGAAAGCTGTATCTTACTGTTTTAAGATAGGCATTTGATGGTGATGAGGGTGGAAACTGGGACAGCATTTTGCCCTGTGTCATTATTGACTGAGTTAGTTAACTGACTACCAGAAAGGCAGGGTTAAGATGCAAAGTTGAATCTGAATTTGGAAAAGAAGTTTTATGAAGCCAGGGGTGGTGATGCAAGCCTGTAATCCCAGCCACTGGGAGACTGAGGCAGGAGGATCACAAGTTCAAGGCTAGCCTGGGAAATTTAGCAAAACTCTGTCTCAAAATAAAGTTCAAAAAGGTCTTGGGAACCAGGCATGGTGGCTCATACCTATAATCCCAGCAGTTTGGGAGGCTGAGGCAGGAGGATCACAAGTTCAAAGCCAGCCTCAGCAATTGAACAAGGCCCAAAGCAACTTAGTAAGACCTTATCTAAATAAAATATTAAAAAGCACTGGGGGTGTGGCTTAGTGGTAGAGAACTCCTGGGTTTAATCCCTAGTACTACAACAGAAAAAAAAAAAAAATAGAAACAGCAGCAGCAGCTCTATGGGGTTTTTTATTAGCTAATCCAGGCACAAGCTGACCCCCTAATGAGGTTGAGGTTTAAAAACAAAATAGCAGAGAAATGGAATGGCTTCTTGAAACATTGTTTGTGGTTTATAGTAGGGTTTTCAGATTTGTTTGAGAGGAAAAAATATAGCTTAGGTTCTTCTCTGCTACATGACTAGAATGTATTTTTGAAATTTACTTGGATTTCTTTAACATTAAATTTTTTAAAAATCCTCTTAACTTATTCTATAAAGCAGTATTTACAGCAAATTCGTTTTTTGCATTGACTTACACAAGCTTTTATGTAATGAAATGAGTTCAATCAGCAGTTTAAAAACTTCCCTTATAAGTATGGAGGGTTTCCTTGATCTGTTGTCAGAAATTTGAAACATTGATCTGAAGGAATATGGCAGTGAATCCCTTATTTAGTCATTTACATGCCACTGTCCTATTTTACCATATTCAAATACTACTAATTCATATTTGTGACTCTAATTCTGTGCAATAGTACTTGTGTCATTTTAATTATTTAGGTATATTAGAATTAATAACTTAAATACTTTATTTAAAATTATAAAGTTAAATAAAACTGCTTCATTGTATACTATTTAAAATAATTTTGTACCAACCATACCAAGGATAAACACTGCACATTGGGAAAGATCGATGTATTTATGTAGTATAAGCTTTATATTCCTAATATGTCAAATTACCATTGATTATTCTACAAGTGAGTTATTCTGAAATTACAACAGGAGAAGAAGGAGGTTCCCCTGTGGTTGATCTTAGCATGTTATCTCCATTCCCTTTTCCCCCTCTCTCTTTCCTTTTATAAGGAGAACTATTTCAAGGAAAGTATGAAAATTATGTGGAGAGGATCTTAAGATTGCATATTTTCAGAGATACTTTTCTCTCCAGTTGGAAGAACTGTAAACTTGATATCTTGTCTTAGGAATTTTCATCCTAAAATACAGTACTATATGCAATACTAGTCAGACTGTCTTATGTGTGTTTCTTTCTCTTTCTTTCTCTCTCTCTCTCTCTCTCTCTCTCTCTCTCTCTCTCTCTTTTTTAATTCTGGTGCTAGGAATGGAACCAGGACCTGAAACATGTTAGACAAATGCTCTGCCACTGAGCTACATCTCTAGCCCTATGATCTGCCATTTTAACAATTGATCTTTGTGCCATTCTTACCAAAGAATAGTGTTTGGTTTCAAGACTGGACTTGTAAAATTTCCACTGTTTCTCAGAATATTTGATGAAATACCTTCTACTGAAATATAAGGGGAGAAATAGAGGACCAGAAGATGGTTTAGTGAGATTCCAGAAAAACGCAGTTCAGTACCCAATATCAATTATATTAATAATTTTAATTAGTAGCTATTGTAGTAAGTAGTACTGGGCTGGGGATATAGCTCAGTTGGTTGAGTGCTTGCTTGCCTTCCATGGATGTGGTACTGGATTCAACTCCCAGCACCACACACACACATACACACAAAAAATAGTAAGTGGTACTAACCAGGCTAATGTATATAAACCTTATGTATATAAGGAAAACAGCTAAAACCAAGAATAAAAATGAGGTAGAGTTTTATTAATCAACAAGCACTTATTGAAGTCATTGCTGTTGAGCTCATTGCTCATTTTAACTAAACCTCAAGATGAAAAACAGTATTTTTTGTTATAATTCAGTGTATGTGTGTACAAAATCTTAAATTTTTCATAGTACAACATTCTATACATTCTGGCTTTTTAAATTTTGTTTTATTTTATATTTTAAAAGATGTTGATATGAGGCTGGGGCTAGGGCTGGGGCTCAGTGGTGGCGCACTTGCTTGGCATGTATGAGGCACTGGGTTCAATTCTCAGCACCACATATAAATAAATAAAGGTCTACCAACAACTGAAAAAGAAAGAATATTTAAAAAAAAAAAAGATGTAACTTAACTCCTAAATTGATTTTGCAGTTCAGTAGTAGGAAATCTTGACCACCCTCCCCAGCCCACCCGCTACCCCTGTACTGAGGATTGAACCCAGGGCCTCCTTGCACATGCTAGATAAGTGCTTCGTTCCCAGGTTTTCACTAATTTTCTTATGCTGGCTTCCAACTTATGATATTCACACTTCAGTCTCCTGAGTAGCTGGGTGGACTTATGCTTTTTAAAAACACTATTTCTGAGATAACCAGTGATACAGAGTCAGCTAAGAACTATGGAAGAAAAAAAAAAGCAAATGTAAACTCTAGATGCTTGATCTTACAGAGTTGTTGAGGAGAAAAAAATACAACTAGGTGGTATCAAAAATGAGGAGGTAAATTTTAACCTTCAATTTTAACAACTATATGTGACAATGAAAAGATTAAAGCACAAATTTAAAAGTGTGATTATTTTAAGTATACAAAAGCACCTCACTGCTAATAAACATCACCCTTTTAATATTAGAAGGACATTTGATTGCCACCATATAATTTATTATTAATGTTATGTCATTTAATAAATTTTATTTAAAAAGGAAAATAAATCTTAACCCCAAAAGGGATTTTTTTAGTTCATCTGATTGAAGCAAATCCAAGCATTCACATTTTAGAGATGAGAGCTAAAGCTAACAAAGGTTAAATGACTTGGTAAAGCCATATAGCTAACTGGGAATGAGAGATGGGGTGAGGTAGGGGTCAGATTAGCCTTCAGGTCTCCTACTTCTATTATAGTACGTTTTTCACTCTACCACACTGCTTTTAAAGAATAGAAGTGTTTCAACATGCTTTGTTCTAACCTATATTGTATTTTTCTATTTTCAGGAAGATATTCCTCGTCAACTTGTCTACATTGGTCTTTACCTCTTTCACATTGCTGGAGCTTATCTTTTGAAGTGAGTTGGGATTTTGCTTGGGTGTTTGAGTAGACTGGCAGATAGTATGCTAATTGGTCTTAATTGATTATCTTTTCCATTTAAATATTTCTTCCAACAGCTTGAATCATCTGGGACTCGTTCTTCTGGTGCTACATTATTTTGTTGAATTTCTTTTCCACATTTCCCGATTGTTTTATTTTAGTGATGAAAAGTATCAGAAAGGGTAAGTTATTTAACCATTCTCTTTCTTGTATAGCAAGTATTTAAAGTCAGTGCCTCCATTGCCAATGTTCATGTCCTTGACAATTATATAATATTTACTTTTTAAGCTGTTAATAGCAACTTTAAATAAAATGAAACTATTTATCAATACTGAGACTCCTCCACATTTTAATTGCTAAAATGGAGTTTGATTCGATATTGTATTGAGACTTGGAATTTTCAAGGTTTGGGGTTAACTTTCCTGTTATAAATTCTGCTTTGTTTATTGTACGTTTTTCCTTTTGGGAAATGGAGTGGAGAAAAAAAGTAAACTTTCAGAAGAGAATGAAAGAGTAGATAATAGAGTGAGAAGTATAACTTCTAAGGAGTGTAAAGTCTTAAAGGGAAACTGGACTCTGAATGAGAATTGGCACCCTAATCTTTACAGCACAGCTTTTTGTTTGGTTTTGTTCAGCATTTTTCAAAATTGTTCTTTATATCAGCAGTTATGAGGAATATTAATAGTGTTTATACTTAAAAAAAAAGCCAAACAAAAAATTAAGCAGATTTCATTACTAGAATTCTTAGAACCTTAAAATTGGCTAGTATGTGTCCCCAGGAGTGTATGTTATGTTGCATTTTGTAGACCTTAACTAAGAAGTCGTTTTTGCAAAATAATAAGAAATGCTGTTTTAATATTCATTTACTTAGTAAGAATCTAATTTCTATAGAATCTTTTCTTTCTAATTTTATGAATTTGACTTGATATTTTTCTTACAGATTTTCTCTGTGGGCAGTTCTTTTTGTTTTGGGAAGACTTCTGACTTTAATTCTTTCAGTACTCACTGTTGGTTTTGGCCTTGCAAGAGCAGAGAATCAGAAACTGGATTTCAGTACAGGAAACTTCAACGTGTTGGCTGTTAGGTATAGTCAATTTAACATTTTTACTTTGTTCTATTATATAATATGTTTCTCTATATAGTTTCTCTATGAAGTGAATCACTCAAAAAATTAGAGGATTAATGCAGGGATTGGAGAAAATACGCATTTGATTTGATTTCATACCTGTTGCAGTTTTGTTTCTTTCTTTCTTTTTGAGTACCGGGGTTTGAATTCAGGGGCACTCAACCACTGGGCCACATCCCCAGCCCTATTCTCTATTTTATTAAGCGACAGGGTCTCACTGAATTGCTTAGCACTTTGCCATTGCTGAGGCTGGCTTTGAACTTTCGATCATCCTGAGCTTCTGGGATTACAGGCATGCGCCACCACGCCCGCCTGACTACAATTTTATTTTTAAATTGAAGTTCTAAAGCCTTATGTAATTTCTAGGATAAAAATTTTAATGGAATGACTTCTTTATAATAACATAATCCTGTCGATAGTGAAAATTTTAGTAGATCATTAGTGTAGAATACTCTTATTCAGTGTCATTATTTTCATACACTCTAATTTCTTGTTTATTTCTTAATATTTTTCAGAATCGCTGTTCTGGCATCCATTTGCATTACCCAAGCATTCATGATGTGGAAGTTCATTAATTTTCAGCTTCGGAGGTGGAGGGAACACTCTACTTTTCAGGCACCACCTGTAAGAAAGAAACCAACAGTGACTAAAGGCAGATCTTCTAGAAAAGGAACAGGTTTGTATTTAGTATGCAATGAAAAAACCATGGGAGTAAGAAACATGTAAAAAAAAATTGCTATGGGGTCTTGCTTATTTTCAAATCTTACTTAAGAACACACACACTCTCTCTCTCTCTCTCACACACACACACACACACACACACACACACACTTTATCCTGCTCTAACAAAACCAGAGACAAAGTAATGTTCTGCTGTTCCACAGTTGAGTAATTCCTTGGGTGAGTCAGTTATGTCTCTCAAAATACTTGGAATTGTAACAGAGTTCCAGTTTTTAAAATATAGCAACTCAATTTGCTCATTGTAAGTCTTGATATCTGATGTTTTGTGTCCTCCAAGTTGTCCCAGCAATTCTTAGCCATTTGCACATGATCAGTTCACACACACACACATACACACACACAAACTTGCTGAGATATTGGATTGAAATTATATAGAATCTGTAAGTCAATTTAGGAATAATTGAGTATTTCTGGCCATGAACATAATATATACCTTCATTAATTTAGATTATTTTTAGTTTCTCTTAGTAATATTTTTTAATAATAGCCTTATTGGGGTTATAATTCCACATCATAAAGGTTATCCTTTTGTAAGCATATTCACAAAGTTGTTTGAAACCACTGTCTTAATTCCAGAACATTTTTATCACCCCAAAAAAGAAACCACATGCCCGTTAGCAGTCACTCTGCATTTCCTCATTCCTCTTGCCATGGTAACCAAGAACTAACTTTCTTTATGGATTGGCTTTTTCTAGACACTGCTTATAAATTAGTGGAGCCATACAATATGTAATCTTTGTGACTGGCTTTCTTTACTTTGCATAATAATTTTGAGATTCCTCTGTTTTGTAGCATGTATGCTAACTATTCTACTATACGAAAATACCATATTTTGTTTAGCTGTTAATCAGCTGATGGACATTTGGGTTGTTTCCACTTTTTAGCTATTAATAATATGAACATTAATGAACAAGTTTTTGTTTGTACACTTGTTTTCATTTTCTTGGGTTTATACTGGAATTGCTGGGTCATGGTAACTATGTTCAGCATTTAGTGGGAACTGCCACCAGACTGTCTCCAAAGTGACTGTGCCATTTTATGTAGTTTACTAGGTTGATAACCTGTTTTGTCTGTACCATTTATTGAAAAGACTAACCTTTCCCTATTGAATCTTCTCAATACTGTTGTCAAAAAATCATGTAGTAAGAGTTTACTTCTGGGGGGGRAAAAAAGAGTTTACTTCTGGACTCTGAATTCTGTTGCATTTATATGTATGTCTGTTCTCATGCCAGTACCACATTTGTCTTGGTTACTGTAGCTTTTGTAAGTTTTGAAATCAGTAAACATGAGTCCTCCAGTTTTGTTCTTTTTTATGTTTTGTTTACTCTGAGTCTCTTGAATATCCATATAAATTTTTAGGATCAACTCTTTTCTGCAAAAAGCCAGATGGAGTTTTGATGTGGATTACCTTTAAACTGTAGATTGCCTTGGGGAATATGAACATAAATTTTGTTTTTCATTTACTTAAGTCTTGAATTTCTTTCAGTTAAATTTTATAGTTATCAATCTATAAGTCCTATACCTTTTTCATTAAATTGATTCCTAATGTCCTTTTTAATGCCATTATAAAATAGAATCATCTTCTTAATTTCATTTTCAGATTTTTCATTGCCAGTACATACAAATGTAATTTTTTAATGTATTGATCTGGTATCCCTGYAACCTTGCYGAACTTATTATTCTCATAGTGTTTTGATATGTGTGGATTCCTTATTCTTAAAAAGCTATCTAGACTTTCACCATCAGGTACGGTATCAGCTATGGGTTTTATCAGGATGAGGAAGTTCTCTTCTATTCCTCATTTGTTTGTAGATTTGTTTATTCAGCATTAGGGATCAAGCCTAGGGCCAAGTGTATGCTAGCTAGCATTCTGTTACTGAACTATACCTATAGCCCTGTTTATGTTTTCAATCATGAAAGAATATTCAATTTTATCTGTTGCTTTTTTTCTGTGTCTTTTGTGATGATTATATCGTTTTTGTCCCGTATTCTATTGATATTTTAGATTACAGTTATTGCTTTTCAAATGATAAAGCAAAAATGCATCCCCAGGATAAAATCCCATGTGATTATGGTGTATAGCCCTTTTTGGTTTTGTAGTTACCAGAGTTGGTTTGCTAGTATTTTGTTGAAGATTTTTATGTCTGTATTCCTTTTTTTTTTTTTTAATATTTTATTTTAGTTGTAGTTGGACGCAATACCTTTATTTTATATTTATGTGGTGCTGAGGATCGAACCCAGGGCTTCGCACGTGCTAGATAAGCGCTCTACTGCTGAGCCACAACTCCAGCCCTATGTCTGCATTCTTAAAATATACTTGTGTGGTTTTAGTTCCCTTTCCCCCAACACACACACACACATACATACTCCCTGCAACATCTTCGTCTGGTTTTATTATAAGAATAATCCTGTTCTCATAAAATGATTTGGAAAGTATTCCTATTTTTTGGAAGAGTTCTTGAAGGAAGTAGTTTGTAGGTTTTTGCATAAAAATCTCATATTTTTATCAGATTTATCCTCATTGATTTTATTTTTAAGCTAATAGATAATGCTATTTTTAAAGAGATGCTTTAATTGTTAGAAAGGTCATTGGTTATTTTTTAAATACTGTTCTTGTATTGAGATACTTCCTAGTTGATTTGCTCTAAAATTTATACTCAAATACACAGTGATCTCATATGTAAATATTATGCCTTTTCCTTCTTGTATTATACTAGCTAGGACCACCATAATATAGATATAATATTAGGGCAACCATAATGAGACTTTGACTTGTTCATCTTATAAGATAGAGAGCTTTCAATATCTCACAATTAAGAATGTATTGGAAGGCTGGGATTGTGGCTCAGTGGTAGCGTGCTTGCCTGGCATACATGAGGCACTAGGTTCGATTCTCAGCACCACATAAAAATAAATAAATGAAGGTCCATCAACAACTAAAAAAATTAAAAAAAAAAAAAAAAGAATGTATTGGAGGGGCTGGAGATATAGCTCAGTGGTAGAGCATGCACAAGATCCTGGTTTTAATGCCCAACCCCTCCCCCCCCACACACACACACACAAATAGTTTGTGATGCCTTTATTCTATTATAAAAGTTCTCTTCTGTGCTTCATTTACTAAGAGTTTTTGTCATGGTCGGATGTGGAATTTTTTTTTAATTCTAATTTGTTATGTATGACAGCAGAATGCATTACAATTCATATTATACATACAGAGCACAGTTTTTTATATTTCTAGTTGTACACATGTCTTCATACATGTACTTAGAATAATGATGTCCATCTCATTTCAATTCCTTTCCTACCCTTATGCCCCTTCCTTTCCACTCCCTCACCCTTGCTCTATCTAGAGTTTATCTAATCCACCCATGCACTCCCCAACCCCATTACGAATCAGCCTCCTTATTTTTATTTATTTATTTATTTTTAAAATATTTATTTTTTTGTTTTAGGTGGACACAATATCTTTTTTTTTTTTTTT